TGTAAATAATTTATTTTGTATAAAATAATTAATTAAGAGAATACCAATTATTCACTAAATAAATTAAGAAAATCAGATTTTCCACACTAGGAAAATCCGAAATCCCTAGATAATCATTAGGAATTTTCAGACCTATTAATTAAATAATTAAAATATAATTTATTTTTTTGCTTAAATAAAATATCCGAAATATATATAATGAATCCGGTTTTTAAAATAAAATCAATGGATGATAAATCTTATCCAAAATCTAAAAATAATAATTAAGTTTTAAAATACTTTTGGCGCAAAAATTCAAATATCATTTTGACTCCAATATTCAAATATCATTTTGGCTCCAAAATTCAAATAGTGAAATAAATTACTAAAATACCCTTTTTAGAAAATAATAATTAATTAATTAATTGGAAAATACGTTTGAAAAATACGGGGTATTACATTTATAATGCTCGAATTTTTATTTAAAAGTTAGAATTATGTTTCTTAAAAGGATTTTTAATTACCCATTAATTGGGAATAAAAGTAAGTGGTTTAAATGAATTTTCAGAATGGTTTAGAGAGTATAAATGTGATTTAAAAAGTATATATATTGCTGGAGATTTATTATGAATAGGTAATGTCTCTTTATAATTTTGGGTTGTAGGAGACTTCCAAGTGAGTGATTTCGTGTAGTCGTGGCGATTTTGAGATCATATTTGAGGTACGTTCGCGTACTCGGTATTTATTTAAGTGTGTAGAAGCATGCTAGGCTTTGTTTAATTAATTCCAAAGTAGTATCATGATAGGTATTGGTTGGAATTGTTGATTGAATTGATGTTCGTGATTGATTTGTGAAGTATGGATTACTTGAGGTGAATAGATGATTGGAATTAATTATGTTGGCATGTTGAATATGAACCACACTTTTATTATTGGCATGATTGAGAGCATGTTTAATTAAACTAAATGTTTAATTTGGTTTCGAATAAAATAAAAGAATTTTATGATGGTTCATATAATTTTTGTTGATGCTTTAAGCATGGGAATTGAGCTATTAAGTGTCTTAGTACACTGGAATAAAAGGAAATGCAGTGCCTAAGTGCACTTAAGGTGTTCTAAACACCGAGAGATAGGATTTGCAGTGCTTTATGCGCTTAAGGTGTTATTTAACGTCGAGGTAGTTTAAAAAGGGTTCAACATTAAATTTATGTGGTCACTAATTATTCAAGAATTAAATTGGTATGTTTGATTGCTTGAATGATTTATGATGATTGATTGTGTAATGTTTTGAGAGTCATCACCAAGTCTAAAATATGTAGACAACGTAAAGTGAAAGAGATTACGCACCAAAACTCTTGGAACGTATATACCTCAAGTATGAACATATGAGGGGAGTTATGTGGTTTTATATTTAACCATAGCTTCTATTGGGAGTACAGGACGCTGTATTTTCCTTTATTTATTTTATGCGTAGGACGTCCAATCACTTTCATTTGGCATTTGCCTACCCGGTTAGCTCCCGATGTAGTTTACCTCAATTTATTTGGGGCAGGGATTTGGTAAGAAACCCATTCGATGCGTAATCAAATTAAATAAGCAATTCATTTATTTATTGGTTGGCTGTATGGTATGTTGTATGCTTGTAAACAGGTGCAACAAGGTAAGTTGTGTGTTGATAGGATAAAAGCATGTTAGTGTGTACTGTTTACGCTTATGTACTCGGCATTGCTGATTGTGTGTTTGTATGTTTGTTTGGCCTTGTCTTTATCTTGGCTCTGCGACGACCCATTTCTAATGGCAAGTAGTGGGGACAAAGTAAAGGAAAGCTTTTTAGGTGATGAAGCATATTCATGATGGGCATGAATGAAGAGCGATTCCTGTTTAGTTTCCATAAGAATTTGGTGTGTTTATTTGCTTTGATTATTATATACTTGCTTGTGATACTAACACATGAAGGTTTTAACATTCGTTTTGGGGTTTGATAAGGGTCTACAATGGTTCCAAGTTGTAGGTTGACTTCATTTGACTTTACTTTCGTTTGTTTTGACTTTTTAAGTTGACTTGTTTTGAATGGTTTTTAAAATGAGTCTTCCGCTGTGTGTCTTTGATATTGCCTTAGCCGTTTTCACTGTGGCGGTAATATCTTAGAATTTCCTATTTCGTATTTTAAAAAGAGAAAAACAGGTATTTTAAAGTAAAGGAATTTCTAGGGTGTTACATTAGTAAACTTCAAGAAATATTAAATAAAATAAATAAAATAAATAAGAATTGAAATATAGATTTTGGGACCAAACCCTCAGAACTATCAACCTTTCACGTCGAGGTTGAAGGCAACTTCGAGATTGGCTAGGAGTATTCTAAGCTCGTGAAGGAGGTACACTACTAGAAAACAGGTCATTTCCGACGGAAAAATTCCGTCGGAAACACCCTTAATTCCGTCGTAAAACACTGTTCCGACGGAATTTCCATCGGAACTGGTTGTCGGAACACCCTTTGTAGGTAAAATGGCCAATTCCGTCGGAATAGTGTTTTCCGACGGAATTCTGACGGAATTTACTCATCGGGAGAGGTTTTCCGGCCACCGGAAAGTCCGTCGGAAAATTCCGACGGAATTCAAATCCGCCGGAAACTGCTACAAAAAAAAATAAAAAATAAATGCCCTGCCACCTCCGGCACCACCACCCACACCCAGACCCCCCCTCCCCACCCAGACCAGACCCTCCCTCCTAACATCAACCACCACCTTAACCCACCATCGTAAACCACCACCTTAACCCACCAAACCCCACCTTAACGCACCACCGTTACCCACCACCGAAACCCACCAAACCCCACTTCACCACCAACCAAAATCCTCTAACCCAAACCCTGACGCACCCAAACTACCCCAACAACCGTAACAACACCAACCAAACCCACCCTGCCTAACCCTAACCAAACCCACCCTGCCCAGAAAACCCCTCCACCGTACCACACCCACCCAGACCACCGTATTTCAACCACCCCCCACCCAGACTTCCCCCACCCAGAAAACCCACCACCATCCTCACCCAGACTTCCCCCACCTTGACCACCGTACTTCACCCTCCCCCTTAACCCTAACCCACCCACCACCACACCCACCCAGACCACCGAAAAAACTGAAAAAATTAAGAATATATTAAAAAAAAAAAGATCTAACCCACAAATCGAACAATAACAAATCTATTATATAAATTGAATAATACAAAAGTAGGAAAATCAAAATCCGAAAAATAAAATCGAATAAACACAAACTAGATCTACAAATCTAAAATCAAAATCAGAAAAATAAAAACGAAAGATTTAAAAAATTGTTCTTCAAATTTGTTGATGTCGGTGGTGGTTGTTGCGATTGCTCGGTTGCCCGGTGAAGCCCTTAATTGTTGCGCCGTTGTTGGTGGTTTTGATGTTTTTTGCGTTGTTGTTGTTGGTTTTGAAACAGAGAGGAGAGTGAAAGGGGAGAAGAAACCGAAGAGTGAAAGAGAGAAATGGAGGAGAAGAAGAGTAAGTCTGAGAGGAGAGAAGAGTAAGGGGAGAAGAGAACAGGGAGGAGAGGAATGAGAAGTCTGAGAGGAGAGGAGAGGGAAAGGGAAGAGAAGAAGAGAGAGGGGGAAATAAGGAAGTGGCGGCTGAGGAGAAATAAGGGAAAATAGGGTTAGGATTTTTTTATATTATTTTTTAATAGTTTCGTCGGAAAATCCTTCGGAAATGTAGAATTCCGACGAGAAAAATCTGTCGGAATATTCCGACGGATTTTAGTTCCGTGGGAAAATTATTGTTCCGACGGAAAATTCCGTCGGAAATTTTCGACGGATTTTACTTCCGTTGGTAATTTACTGTTCCTACGGAATATTCCGTCGGAACAGCCTAAATTTTCCTACGGAACTAAAATCCGTCGGAAATTTCCGATGGATTTCCTACGGAATAAAATTCTGTCAGAATTTCTGATTTTTCCGACGGAAATACGTATCCGTCGGAAGAAGTCCGTCGGTATTCGGCCTATTTCTAGTAGTGGTACGGTGTTTGATTAGGGAAAAGTATCAATGATGGGTATTAGGACGTGTTTAGGCTAGGCTAAGAAAAGAATCAAAAGAGAGAGAAAGAATATTAGAAAAGGGATTAGATGATGATTGTTGGTGATTGAAAACGGGGTAAAACGACCTTTATTTATAAGGAAAAAAGAGGGTCGAAGGATCAGAAAAGAGTCAGAAATCAAATCAAAGTAAAACAGGTTCCATCGCGGCGCGATGATGCTGTCGCTTAGCGATGGTTTTGGAAAGATAGAATTCGTATGAAATCCGATTTCCAATCGGATTGGTTAACCAAATTTCCGTACGTATTCTTTTTTTTATCGGGATTAGAATCATTGAAAAATAGATGTTTTATCCGATGTAAAATTCTTAAATTTTTATCTTTTCGAAAACAGGATAAATTAGAACCTTATTGAGGATTCTAGAAGCTCACAGTAAATCCTAATGGATTTAGGATTGAAAACAACCTTCTAAAAGATTCTAAAAGTTTGTAAGGCTTGATTCATTTGGTCGCAGGTAAGGCTTGATTCAGACTCGGTTTAATATTTTGACCATAACTTCTCCGTTATAAGTCGGATTTGGGCTTATAATATTTCGTTGGAAAGCTCTTTTCAAGCCCTATCCAATTACACAATAATTAGACCGATATCATGGACCAAAGTAATCTGGCTTGGACGTTTTTTCAAAAGGACACGAAATGAATGATTTTGGTTTAAAACATTTAATGAAAGGTTAGAAATGGTCAAGGCTAAAGAGAATTCATGAGACTCTTCAACTCTTCACCTAACTCGATAATCAAAACATGAAAGGTACTCATCACTGAGTTTGGTTTTTGGGGAGACACAGTCAGGTGTCTACAATAATATTCAAATGCTTTAAATAAATCCACTTGTAGTTTTCTTAAATTACGTATCCATCCCAACGTCCCAAGTATTATGGGACGGAGGGAGTACTTTGTAAGTATAAAGATAAGATTGTATAAAAGAAGCATTTTTATTTAGTTGATAGAGCGAGTAACATACAAGGACAATTACGTAAATACGTAGTAACATCATAGTAACATACGTAAGTAGTACTACATATTTTCAAATCTTACTCTGTATTAATTACTATCCCACATATCATAGTTACTTAGGTTATATTATAAGCCTTAAATCCTTAATCAACTAGTTGAACGATGCGATAGTAATTCCATCGCTTTCTGATTTCACCGGATGCTCCATGGAAAGTATGCGAGCATGAATAGAAGTCTGAGTGGATGTATCACTGTGGCTTGAGTTACTACTAGATTTATTCAGCTCACTCTCAATGATTTCCCAATTTATATTGTTGTATTTCGCAATTGGCCTACACTCCACATAAACCTGCAACATGTACCATCAAATTTGACAATTACGGAGTAGTATACTAGTATTTGACAATTACCGTGCACTATAAGTCGAACATTTTTTCATTTTTCTTTTTAAGTCGTCTTTATAAGATTCTTAGTTAGGTACTTAGGTGACTCAGGTCCAAAAGTTGTGCACTTTCATACCTTCTTAGCATGTATATCCCTTGGGTTGGACCAAGCGACGAGCCATCCACATTGATGTCCACTATTGCTTCTGCCACTATAGACCACGGCCGACTTGATGCCATCTTGAATATTGGCTAGTATGCTGAACCCAATAGTGACACCACTAGGTATATCATCCCTGTACTTTTGAAAAAAGCTTCCGGACCACATTTTTTCGGCATGAAGGTTCATGGCTCCAGTAGTCAAATTCTTCAGGTTTCCAAGGAGAGCTACTTCTTGCTGTTGCGAGTCACTGACCATCCTTGGAACGACATCGTTTTGTGCTTGCTTCACCAACTCATCCAGAGCGGCTTGATGATCTTGTGGAATAACCTGAGTTGAAGCCATTGCTTACGTACGTATTCTAGTCTGCTCAATTAATAAGTTTTGATGATGTTAATGATGAAATTCATATCTAAACATATAATATGAATATGATAATTTAAAAAAAAAAAAAAAAAAAAAAAAAAAAAAAAAAAAAAAAAAAAAAAAAAAAAAAAAACACGAAAGATATACATTACTTGCCATAAAAATAAAACTACTCAGGAAATTAAATGGTTTAATTTATAGCACAAACAATAATAAGAGACAGAGAGGAGTAATACTATACCTTGGCAAGCAGTGAAGAACCTCTTTACTTAATTAACTGCACAATTGCTAGAAAAGTTGGCATATTATTCATATTTATAGACCATAGTGGAAAAACAAGAAAAAAAAAAAAAAGCATCCCTAAAGATGCTTATCATATTGTTATTGATTACAAGTATTATAAATAAAATATAGGTCCCATAAGAAAATAAAAATAAAAATAAAAAATTGTATAAACTACGTAATATACCATAATTGAATGGTTATAGAAAGGGGAAAAAAAATAAATTCAAATGTCATACTACGTATTTATTATTATACATTTCAGAATAATAGCAGCACAAGTGCACAATACTTTAACTTTTGCATTTTTTTTATCTACTTTGTACTACTAGCTTAGTATAAAAATATATGTTACCACGTCCCATAAAATACTATTAGATAGATGATACTCTAATTTTTCTTTTTAATTGCAATATTTAGTGTTTAGTCAGGTTTGCCGATATAATGAACATGTTATACTATTGAAATTTTTAATTGCTTCTTTTAATATAATTTATAGAAATGCATTTGACTTTGATTTAATTCAATTAACTTTATTGGATGCATTTGACTTTCATTTGTTTCAATTAACTTTATTTAAATGTGTTAGACTTTTATTTAATTCAATAAGCTTTGTTGAATCCACTTTATTTTTATTTGATTCAATTAGCTTTGTTAAATGTATTTAAGTTTCATATGTGCGTTTTAACCCTGTTTATAATTTTTTTTTTCCGCTTATTTAAAACTCTGCCATTAGATTAGATAAGCAATATTTGTTTATTTGAAAGAATACTGGAGCGCCCTCTTTCAAAATTTCGTGTTCATGAATTCTCAAGTTTATCTTAGTCAAGGTACACAACTAAACAAGTGTAACAACTTTTTGATAATTATGTACTATTATTTTAATGTATGGAGTATTATATTTACATCAATAATTTGCATATAATTGACAATGCTAGTACGATTTTCTTTTCTTTTTTTACATTAAGATTTTTTTAAAAAAAGATCTAAAATTAAAACACATGTCTAATTGTCTAAATGTGAATCTAGAAAGACTAGAATCTAGTTCTTGCCTTTTGTATTTGATTCGTCGTTTAAATTTCAAGTGTCATTTCAACGAATGTATTCCTTTAGGTGTGATAACTGTTATATGGATTGAATTGTGCATGCAATCAAGGGTGTTTTTTTTTTCCTCAATTGATCATTTTGAGAGATTTATGGTTATAACATCGTGAACTTTGCCTTTTTTTTTTTGTTTAGCTATTACATACTTCCTCCGTTTTTATTTAGTTGACACCGTTTGATTTTTACACTATGCACAGACTAAACTTTGACTAGTTTTTGTGATTTATAGCTACGATACAACATAGTCAAGTGGGATCTTGTTTGAATCGTCTCAATGTATATTTTAGTGAATCGCTAAACATCGCCCGCAAATCTCCACATAAAGCCCACAAATTTGTATTGAAGTGACCTTATTGCCCTTTTTGTTTATAAAAAAAACCACTCACTACATCTTTCTAAAAGCGGCAAGGGAAAGAGGTGGCGGCGGCGACGGCGGAGGAAAGGCGGCGACTTGGTGGCAAGGTAATTATTTAAATTATTTTTTAAAAAAATAAAATAAAATAAGCGGCAAAGGTGGGGCGCCTGGCCAGGACGCCCACCCACTGGCGGTGGCGTGGCGTGGCGTGTGGCTTGGAAGCCCAGCCAACGGTAGAGGCGTCCAAACCAGGCGCCTGCCCACTGGCTATGGCTGTCGGATCTGGCGCCACCGCCAGTAGGTGGGCGTCCTGGCCAGGCGCCCCACCTTCGCCGCTTTTTTTTTTTTTTAATTTTTTTTTTTTTTTTTTTGGGAAAATCAGAAAATTTGTGTTACTTTTAAATAATTTTGTTTTATGTCTAATTTTTTTTTTTAATGTGTTTGATTTTTTTTAATATTTATTAATTTTATGTGTTATTTTTTATAAGTCTAGTATATATATTTTTTATAAAATCAAATAAAAAACATAAATTTCCACATCCTAAATCAAAACATAAATTTATTAAACATAATTCAAAAAAAAAAAAAAAAAAAACTGTTTTTAATAGAATTCCGGATTTTCAATTTTTTTTTTAAAAAAATAAAATAAACGGTAACGGCGGCGTCTGGCAGAAACGCCAGTGCACTAGTGGTGGCGCCTAGCCTGGACGCCTGTGCACTGGTTGAGGCGCCTGGGCTGGACGCCATTGCACTGGTTGTGGCATCTGGCTTGGACGCCAGTGCACTGGTTGTGGCGCCTTGCCTGGACGTCCTTGCCATGGTTCCGGCGTCCAAATATGGTTATAGTGAGACTCAAAGTTGAGTTTGAAAAATTCCCTACAATTATATAAAAGATTCTCTTTTGTATCTTTATATTAATGAAAACAAAAAGTGGGGGAGGTGGGAGTAGTGAGGAGAGAGATAATGTAGGATTTAATTGGGTTTTGGGGTTTGTGGTCCCAAAGAGAGTATAGGAAAATATATTTTTATTAGTGGTCCGATCTTATATTTAATAACGCGTCAAGTATTTTTAAGACGAACGAAAATAGTAATTGTATCAAGTATTATGGGACGGAGGAAGTAGTATATTTTTCACATCACCCATTTCCGACTGAGATTAGAATTTTGTACTCACCTCTTAACATTTACGGAGTACAACAATTGTATACTCCGTATATGAGAAATTGAGAATATTTGGATGTGACCCTATGGACTAGGAATTGAGAAAGCAGTTTTCAGTTTTTCATCTCCCGTGTTTAAAAGTTGGAGGTAATGTGATTAGAGGATTTCTCTACCTCTAATAATTTGAGTCATGAATGACTCTAATAATACAGCGTTGGTATTAAAATTTGTTTAGATGGTATCATATAAATATCAACAAGGAATTATATCGATACCAATAAAATATTTTTGCATTCGTTGGTACTACTGAATAAGTATTTTGGTATCATGATAATACCAACTAAAGTATAATTTAATATCAACGCGTGTTATTAGAGTCACTCATGACTCAAATTATTAGAGGTAGAGAAATCCTCAGCGTGATCAAGTGAGTAACCCAAACAATCATACGAGTACTGAGTACAAGATACGGAGTAACGTAGGAAATCATCTTTTTAACAACGAAATCATCATTATACCCTTATCAAGCACCTGACTGCTAAACACTTCATTTATTTTCTTTAGATTCAAATATTGACCCAATGTATACTAGCATGAAACTTAAAATAGAAAATATTAACTAAAACGATTACAACAAGTATTTACTCGTACAATAATCAAAATTGGACAAAGTGGTGTGTCAATAACGTACTCCATAGGATTTAAAATTGGAACACTTAAAATGAAGCAAAAAGTATAGTACTTCGTATACAATTATAAATCGGAGTATAGTAAAACTGTAAAACTAAAACAGATGCAATAAAATGCAATTGGACTTTTAAAGGGATTTTAACGAAGGCTTGGAGTGTTAAATTAGCATTCATTAGTAAAATGGTTACTAAACTGTATATGTTAATTTGGTGTACAATACTTTCTCCGTTTTTATTTAATTGACACATTTAATTTAAGCACACATATAAAGAGAAGAGAGAAAATGAGATAAAATGATAAAGTAAGTGAAATACACTAGTAAATACAAGGTATAAAATTTACACAAAAAAAACATATCAATTAAAAATAAACTTTTTAAAAAATAAATTTGTAAAAAAACGGAGGTAAATATTATCTAACGCATGAGCGTTCGTTAACTTTAGGACAGAATGGTTGAGTTGACCACGCCAACGAAACCTGTAATACAGGTATAATTGGAAACAACGCCATTAAAGGCTACTGTACTAGCTACTAAAAGCAAGCCACATAACAAGCTACTAAAACTAACCTATGTTTACTGAGCTGTAATTTCACATGTAACCCACCACTTGTCAATATGCCACTCACGTGCCACACCACACTCCCCACCCAATTACCATAAACCACACCATAACATTAAACACCCCAACCCATCATCCCTAATCCTCTCTTCATCTTCTACTTCCTCGCTCACTCACTTTCTCTCTCCTCCCATATTTGCTCAAAATGTGTTATGTTGGTAAAGCAACTAAGATCTTCATCTTCATTGTCATTGTTCTTGCTTTTATGGGCCTTATTTTGGGCTTCACTCTCATCAAACATGGCCTTAGAAAATCTCATAAATGTTCTGAATCTACTTCTGATTCTTCTTGTTCACCTACTATTCAACAATTTCCAAATCCAATTCCAGCTCCTTTGATTAGTACTACTCCTAACCCGAACCCAGACCCGAATCCATCCCCTTACCCGCCTCCTAATGTTAACCCGACCTTAAGCCCGCCTCCAAACCCGAACCTGTATCCACCTCCGAGTTCGGGGTCTAGCCCGGTAATGCCGCCGCCACCACCGCCTCCGGCGCCCGTGATGATATCGCCGGTGGTGGTTCCTGTTCCGCCGCCGCCTGCTGATCTTCCAATGCCGGTGATATCTGCTCCTCCGCCGAGTTTGAATCCTCCGAGTCGGTTTGTTGGGTCGACTCCGGGTCCGATACCTGCTTGATTTCAATGGTGGGTTGCTGGGTTTTGTTTGGTTTGTAAGTGTATTGTGTTTGATTTGAAGTGAAAGTGAAGTTAACCCATTCATTTGTTGTTGATCTGGTACTGTTTTGGGAGAATAATACTGAATTCGTGGCAAATTCAGAAACCTGGGCTTGTTATTGCATTGGTTTGTGTTGTTAATCATTTGCCGAATGGTAGATGTGCGAGTGATACAGAAACAAGATTGCTCTGTTACAATGCCGAGGACTCAACATGGTTAAAATACAAGTATACAACCAATCACACGTGTATATGTTACAATGATATAGGTAGAAGAAAATCATGAGCTACAGTACTACCATACTTATTTACAAGGATGACAGTCTAGACTCTAGACACCCAGATGTGGAAGCTGCAAAATATGTAACACGGGTACGTCTGTGATCTGTATGTGTCCAAGTGTCACACTGTATGTGTCCAAGTGTCACACTCGACTGATTTATGGAAAGGTGCCTTGGCAGAGGTTTTTTTTTTTGGTATAATTCAAGCTCTCTATGGCACATTGGCACACTCCTTTGAACATACTGTATAAGAGAATGTAACAACGAGCTGGTGGAAGCGGCCATCAATCACGGAAGCACCAACCGAGGAGGGCAAGAAAAAAGGATACTTAGCTATATGCCTATATACCATTCATCATTTTTGTTTCAATTAATCAATTATATGCTATTTTTATCGTTTCCTCAGTAAAATAGTATATTGGGAAACCTGATTTTCAGACAATGTAAAATGAGATTTGACACCATCCTTCCCCACTTCCTGTCAATAAAAACTAGTCATTTAAATTTTAGCATCATTTGTTTTGTTGTTTATTCGGTTCGTTAACTTTTAGGATTGTGATTCGTACTATGAACAATAGTTGTACAACTGCGACGGGCCCTTGTACACAAACAACACATGCCTTGACCTTCGCTTATATAGAGCCCAAACTCGATAACAGGTACGGGTACTGGCGACGGATGCTATAAACCATCACTGTCTTTAGAGTTCAGTAGAAGGACTGCCTTTTGTTAGTGATGCTGTCGCTAGCAACTAGCTGACTCTGTTGTTGATCACTGATTTCATTTTTTCGGAAGTTTGCCTGCCAGAACGAACAATAATTTATTTAGCAAGACTGCGTTTATTGTATACATCTACAATAAGGACATTAATCTCGATCATGTTTGTTTTTTAGCTTAGTTATATCAAGCAGGGAAATCACCATAAACTACGCTGTATTTTGCAGATGAACGTCTGCAACGATACCTAATGGTCCACATGGTTTGTACATTAGGGATCTTAAGAGTGTCTATTATATACTCGGGCATACCTATACCTCCAAACTTGGAAGAACGCTTTGTATGTTCAAGTATATTAGAATTTGATCCGATTAAATTTAGGTTGCCCATCCAGTCATTACTACTCAGCATTAAAACTACCTATCTACCAACCTATTTTAATTTTCTAACAGCAAAAACACTTTTTTCAACACCAATTTAGCAATTAGCATCAATTGGTGCACTTTAAAGGTACTACCTTTTTTTACCTTTTATAAAAACATTATGACTCCGTTTTACCCACAGACAACAGGCGTTACACTACTCCGTATCACTGTATCAGTAATTTTACCTTGCAGACTTACCCAAAACAACTATTGTCAATTAATTACCACTGTCATCTATTCTTTGATGTTAATCTTACTGTTTGTAAGACATTGAAACGCATAGTGCGTGTGTTGACTAAGACGCGGGAAAGGGATAGACAAGAACCACAATCCAACATACTGATAATAATGATATACACATGTACTCCTCTATCCCTAAATAAAAGTCTTGTTTTTGCCAAAAACCTTGTCTATAAAGCTTCTTTTCACCTTACTATTCTACTTCGTATATCTTTGTTCACTTTTGTATAGACCAAAGTTTACAATCTTATTGTATTACTCCATATGTATTTTTAGTTAACCAAAATCTTATTTATCTTGTACTTTGTATTTTATATTCACCTTTAATCAACCTAGTGCCACTAATATTACTTTAATCCATTTTTTTAATTTTTACAAAAGGTAAATTATACTTCATCCGTTCTTTTTTACTTGATCCGCTTTGACTTTTACACTATTTATCACCCCTCCTTTGACCGTCTTTTGTGGATAATATGTAAAGAAAAACATATTCATGGTAGATCTTTTTGAATTCGTCTCAATAAGTACGTACTATCATAATATATATCTTTTATAATTTTTACTCATTGAGAATTAAAATTATTGATCGTTGAAATTTTGCATTGACAAGCGTGATAAAAGAAACAGATTAAGTAAAAAAGAACGGAGAAATTAGATATATTGAAGTAAAAATTATAGGTTACTTACTTTTGCATAACCACCATAGATGATTTTTTTTCCAATTAAGTTTAGATTAGGTGTCCTTTTTTCGTAAGTTTTTTTGTTTTTTGTGTTCCACCCGGTTCACCCTTTGGGCTAATCTGGATTCGAGGATCAGTTCTGGTGGTAAGGTTCCAGTCCTCTCCCAATGGTTATTGCGGGGGATCGAACACACGGTCCTTCCTACCAAATGTAACCCCAATTACCACTACATCAATAGCCAATTGATAAATAAACTTTGTATGTGACTATTAATTTTGAACTTTCTTTCATGAACGTTTCATTAAAACCTATCTTCTTTGATGCCCTCAAAAAAAAAAAAAAAATCTATCTTCTTTGATCCTCTTAGCATATACGCTTTTCTCTTTGCAATGTCTTTGACCCAACCCACTATTGTGTCCCTCTTTTATCAAGTGACCTTTTAACCTAGACTACCCCGACTCGAACTGCCCAACCAAGTCAAATTAGGCCTCATCTAATGGCTTAAAATCCGAATACTCTTCAACAAATTTTCCAGTGCCACTAGCTTAGCGCACGTCTAAACTACTGCCACACTCTGCTATCTCCGATAGCAAGCAAGAGAGACAAAAAGTCAAAAGGCAAAAGCAAAGTCAAAGGAGAGAGAAAGAGAGGGGAAAGATGGCAACCATAGAAACACGGGTAAACATCCATGATACAGTCTACACTGCAGCAACTCGCCACGCTTTTATACGCTCTATCCGCGATGGCTCCGTTGATCTCTCCTCTTTCAAACGCTGGCTGGTTAGTTACTTTCTCTGTCTCTAAAAGTTTATACTGTTTTGACTTTTTTTTTTTTTTTTTTTTTTTTTTTTTTTTTTTTTTAAATCGCCCTCTAAACATGAAGAAAATAATTTGTAACAATGTAGGTTTGTGGTTCATATTTTTCACTAATCAGAGAATATATAATCTTTTATATATTTCAGGTTTGAATTGGTTTACTCTTGTTGAAATTGAGCATAAATTGATTCTGTTGAAGATTATTTTGATATTATTGGGATTTAAACTATGTATTTTGATGGTGAGAAAATCCCAATTTCCCAGAGCAGATTTTAACAAACTTTAACTACTTAAGAATGTTTGTATTTAAGGAATTGAACTCTGATACCCTATGACTGTATTCGCCCTTGCCCTCAGACTTTTAAGGCCTCATCATAGCTTTTGTAAACTGTTTAGTTAACCTTATACGAGTATTCGACATAGTGTGTGTCTTCTTAATACTGTTGTTCGCAATGCTTAGCTTGTATTTATGTGTTTGTGATCATGGCATCAATATCGGAATACTCAGTGTGTATCGTCTCTGTGTCAAATTCAGAGTCAGGATTACATATTTGTCAGGAAATTTGTTCCTTTTGTTGCGAGTGTACTGGTGAAAGCTTGTAAGGAATCAGATGATGAATCGGATATGGAAGTTATTTTAGCTGGTTTGGCTTCTCTGAATGATGAAATTTCTTGGTTTAAGAATGAAGCTGCAAAATGGGATGTCAAGCTCAGTGAGATCACTCCTCTGAAAACAAATCAGAATTACTGCAGGTGACATGCTGAACTGTCTAATAACACTCTGCTCAGGTCTCTAACAAAGGGATTAAATGGAGAATATTGATAAATATAGAAAACACAATTTCAAATCATGAAGACTCGATTTTCAGCTTAGGGGATGTACTCAATGTAATAAGTTCCTTTGTTACAAGTAGTTACTAAGATTGTTGATTAATCATAGCAGAAATCATTTTTTTCAGTATTACCTTATGTTGATTGTAATGTGCTCACGTACGTGCTCAATCTTTAGGTTTTTAGAAAGCTTGATGCAACCAGACGTCAGTTATGCAGTGGCAATGACAGCCTTCTGGGCTATTGAGGCTGTTTACCAAGTGAGCTTTGCCCATTGTCTTGAAGCTGATGCCAAAACTCCGTCAGAACTCAAAGAAGCTTGTGAGAGATGGGGGAGTGAAGGGTTTGGCAAGTATTGTGAATCTCTGCAGAAAATTGCTGATCGAAGTATTTCAAAGGGATCGCAGGATGTGCAAAATATAGCTGAAGCAATGCTTTTGCAAGTTCTTGAGCTAGAAGTTGAGTTCTGGAATATGAGTGAGGGACAGATGACTTAGGAGCAGAAAGTATGTGTTTGTATTTGTGTTTCGATTGTGTTTCTTGTATGTTTTACAGCTTAAAGTTGGTTTTGAATCATAAAGATGCATTTTTTTTTTTTTTTTTTTAATTTGAAAAGTGCTTGTAAAAGCTAGTTTGGCAGGCAACAATTATGTTACATACGATATAAAAGGAATACTATCGTATTACCATATTATCAGCTTATAACCTTGACACAAATATAAACAAATACATCAAGGTCAACTTGTACAATGCTACTCCATAAGACAATTGTGCTACAAAAGTTAGAGATTTAGCTTGTCAATCCATTCAAGTTTTATGTACAAGCTGTGACACTTACAGACGCAGAAGCACAAAAATACAGAGGGCTAACATAGCATCTGACACATTTTTGCATTAGCTCAAGTATATACAAATTGATTGGTTTGCTTCTGCGGTTCTGCCCTAGTGTTTGTTATGCTACAAAAAATACATTAGCCAGCCATCAAGAGAGGGATGAAGGTCAGTCATCCAACAATATAACACCATCGTTTTTACACAGCCGCTGAGATACACTAGAAGAGTGTGTGCTTTTAACAGCTACTTTACTAGACAGTTCCTTCTCAAGGTTGTTGCGGAAATACTCTAAGTTTTCAAGATCAAACCAGTCTTTTCGCATCTGCAGTATGACGATAAAATTACAATACAAGGTGACAAGAAATACATGCAGTAAAGAATGAAGGAATTAAGATTCATGTACATACAAAGTATGGGTAATCAGAATCACAAAAGTTTTCCGGAGCAAATTGCATAAATAAGTTGATGAAATAGAGAACGTAGCTTCCACATTCCTCATCATCCCTTTGTTGAGGCACCTGAAAATGGCATCATATATGCGTAAAGCAGATTAGGGTTGTTCCTGAATATAGATAAAACTATACAAGGTTCATATACTTCAATCAGGACTAAGATCACCTTAGGTATCAAGAGAGGAATTCGGGAAATCACTTTCCTGTCTTCTTCCCTGCCCTCTACCCTATAGATGTCCTGAACAAACCTGAACCAAAGACAACCATTGAACGTAATATAATTAACTGGGTAAGCAAACCACCAAAAGGGTATTAAGGTCAGAATTCATGTGAATCACCCAATCACAATATGAATTTCAGTTTTCTTTGTCCTGATTAACAATGAAATTGGTTTCTTAACACAATAAATAGTCAAATTTAGCACAGTGGAATGTTTCATAAAGATTACAAGAAAATGATATGCTACAACAGGATTCAAATCCTAGAATGTATGAATTATTATAGTACTCCCTCCGTCCCTTTATTAGAAGCCTATTTCTAATATTTATTACTCACATAATAAAGAGAAATAGGCTTCTAATTTAGGGACCGAGGGAGTATAAATTACCAATACAAATATCAATACATTGGCAAGTATCCATGTAACCTAAACCACAAGATAACAACACATTATTCTTTTCTGAAAAAATAGAACAAACAAGTAGGGAGAGCAACTTTTGAAGTGCAATGCAGTAATTACAGAAACAAAAGTGAAGTATCATACTTTCTAATCTCAGGTTCAAGTCTCTTTAGCTCCGCATTCTCAAGTGAGTCCAGCAGCAACATGCATGGGGTTCTAGTTTTCGAGTCAGAACTATCATTAAAGTGGACAAATATCAAGAGGCTCCAGTGACTCCTAGTGAAATTAAAAAGGAAAAAAAAAAATCAAGTGAGAGATGCAGTCAATGAAAATAACCCAGATATAACATGGTATAGCAGCAAATTTAAATAGACAGCAGCAATTACCAACAACAAACAGGAACAAACACATAATCCTTGGAGAAAATGCTTTTCTTTTTAATCCATGTCAGAACTTTAGGTCTAGTAGAAGCTTCTCGGTACAATGAAAACCACAGACTATCAAGATATGTAAATGACATCCTCTTCTCTTCTGAAAAGCTCTTCCAAACCACCCTGAAAGTTGTAGAATAAGAATGCTAAATGGGCCAAAATTAAAGGAAAAGTTATTATAAATGGAGTATTCAGAAGTTAATCTTACTCCATGTAATGCTCAAATGTTTCAGTGTCTAGCTTCTTTCTTATCCTGGGGATAATATGACGGCCACCCATCAACTTGGAGCGCTTAGCATGGGCAAAAGTATCAAGAAAACAAGGTGAAGTGTGCTTAAACTTCTTCTTTATCTCCTTAAATTCTGTCAAAGTTATTTTCTTTTCAGTTTTATATTGAGCTGCAGCTATGTGTAGCCAGCAGGAACGATGCTTAGATATGTTATCTCCAAATAATCCTGCCAGGAAAAAAAAAAACGAGGGGGGGGATCAGGATTTATGTAAAGCATCTCTTTTGAAATGAATCATAGTACAACAAACTACCATCGGATAGAGTTATGAGAATGAGAATATGGAAAAGCTTTGAATAGATTCATGAAATAATACAACTATTTATAGTGTTACAAAAGAGTATTAAAGGCTAACAATGATACATGAAAATGGTGCGAAAGATTACAAACAATAATATCAAATCAAAGATATAACATAATATCCTAATATACCAAAGACTTCTATAGCTGAAAACACTGTATCTATAAACTACCTTATTAAAACTCACTAATATGAAGTACAACAATAAGTTGATCAAAAACATTCCTTTAGTAAAAAATAAGACTTTGAAACTTAAAATTCTAAGAACAGTTTCTTGGCTACATATTAGACTTCAATATTTTGAGCACATCATGGTTAAAAATCTCGACAATTTGCATAATTAAGACCTTTAGATCCAACGGTGAAAGTAAAAAGGGGGACAAGCAGTCCATATCAATTGCCAATTTTCATGTTCTATCTGTATAATTATAGAACAGGTGATTGTTCTAAGCCTCCAAAGTCCAAAACTCCAACACAGTAATTGCCAAATAAAAAAAAACAGAAAGATGATAATCCGCAAGAATATCTATCAATAACATTGTTTTAAGATATCAAAACCTAAAATTTCCTAAATTAATCACAACAAAAAAAAATTAAAAAAATCTAGGATTAATTATAAGAACACATTTTTTTCCAACCACTTTCTCTGTATCACTAGAATTAATCAGCATCACAGAGTTTTCTTTTCTTTCATTTTTATTTTATTTTTATAGATCTATCACTATTCACCAGTAAAAAATTAATATCAATTTCATAAATGCAAACTAACTAGCTCAAATTTCAAGAAGAACTACCCAATTGCAAGAATTTAACACCAATTTCATAAATGCAAACCAATTTCACACCTTTTTTTAACTTAACAAATTCATATAATATAATTTATTTTCATGTAATTATAGCTTTCATGCATCATGCATAAACATAAGAAGTCACAACAAATCAATCAAAACCCAGAATATAAACATTAAACAAACATAATAAATTGTAATTTTAACGAACCCCAACAACCCAAAATTAAATACCCACCCCAAAAAGAATGCATTTTTAATAAAATATTGTAGCACATAAATTGAAAATTGAGCAAAATGAAAGCTTGAAAATATGGTGAATTGGGAGGAAATAGAAAAATACCAGCAATAGTAAAGTCGAATTCATTGGAAGGAGGCTTTCTTGTTCGTCGTCTCATCACAAAAATTGCTCTGCTCAATTTTTGAAAAAATCCCTTATTTCACTGTTTTTCCCTCTTTAATTTGTGCAATTTGTACTTGAGATATACTTCGTACTTAACAACTCTATTTATATATCATCTCAATAAATAAATAAATAAGAGGAGAAAGCCAGAGAGGTGAACCGTTTTATGTTAGCAAATGTGAGCGGGGTATTTTGGTAATTTTGCTGTGGTGGACTTTAATCATTTTTCTGTTCAGTTCAACGTTGAGTGCTTCTATTCTATCCATAGTCTTTTCTGGTTCCTATATTTGTCGTATTATTTCCTCGGTTTTATCAATATTGCAAACATTTTTCCTCCGTTTTAAATCAATGGATTAATTACAACAATTCAAAAATAATTGCTTACGAGGGTTGAAGAAACCAGTTAACTTTTATTTTTTTTTGAAAGCAAGAAACCATTGACTTGCACATATGTTAATGTACAAATTTGTCCATTACATAAATGCTAATCCAAAATATTTACATGACACTATTTAATTATATGTATTGATAACATATATTTAATCTTTTTTAATCGCTTATTTGGCATTCCTTGTGAAAACATTAAGTTGATAAGCAAGTAGTGATAGTCTTGAAGGTTTCTCCTTTACAATGTCATTTTAGATTGAATTTTGATGGTTTAATACATCCAATGGAAGCTCAACTTTGGGGTTTGATGTTAGAGACTACCTTGATTCCAAATCAGGTCTTTTTATTGCAAAAGCTTTGGCAGTAAGCATGAATTTTCTCCAAATACATAGTAAAACGTTTAATTTTGAATGGTGACACCCTACGCGTAATCACTCTATGCTATTGAACTGCCATATAATTAGAGACAGCTCAATGAAAGGGCGGAAGAAAGTTTACATTTGAGCCATACATCACAAACTGATACACAAAGCATCCCTGCTAAAATGGCAATGTTACAACATCAAATTAGAAATTACAGCGTTCAGACCTAATGACTCCTACGGAAACCACAAAGGCATCAACATTAAACCTCCTGCATGCCCACTGATGATTGAATGATGTTATCTGCAGACAATTCACAAGAAATCGAGATCAATTTTGACCTTAACTCTTCAGTTATGTCCTCGTCCCTCACCTTATTAGCACCATTTAAGCTTTCACAATGCTCATACAGTGACCTTGAACAAGACAGTTTTTCAGGTTCAGACTGCGAAATAGCAATGAGCAACTCCCTGAATAGATCCAACGAAACCACTTGAGCCGGGGATTTTATAGCCATAAACTGTTACTGAAACCTCCTGAGGAAAGAATAATTCCATTATAATACAAGCAGATAGCAGAGCCAATCATAAACCAAATTAAGAGGAATTGTAATACTCTGTTCAGAAATACAAAAAAAAAAAAAAAAAAAAAAAAAATCACAAATTTCATGCGATAGTAAATGATTGGAATTTCTAATATGCCACCACTAACTTAGATGAAAGAGAGTAGTGCAGTAAATCATGCCATATCCTTCACTGTGAGGTTTTATGCAATGTGACAGACTAATTCCATAAAGAGTAGTGCAGCGAATTGTGCTATATGCTATACTGTGAGGTGTTATACAATGTGACAACTAATTCCGTTAAGAGTAGTGCAGTAAGCCTCTATTTCAAGAACCGGGATTCTTTACTAGAGGGAGTGACTTTCAGCAATCCAACCACACATATAAAGGTAGCAATCAGATAGGCCAGAGATTACTATCAGAGTATCAATGACAGTATGACACTGGCCTAGGCAAATCTATCTAACAGTTTACTCATTTACAAGAAAGTTGAAGTACACTACAGCCTAAATAATTATAAAGTGATTGTAGTTTCAAATGTATGAGAAACCACCCAGCAACGAACACAATCACTTATAATAAGCAACATAAACAAAATTTACAAATCACTTATAATAAGTCCGTATATATCCAGCTTATATAGGCACACCACTGATATCAATGAATTAGAGTATCATCCAAATAATTCGCGCAAAAATACACATACTAACACATTAATGCTCAAAAAAGGTTTTCCAACCATGACAATAAGGGAAGTAGCCCATTAACCGTATAATGCGATCAACTATGTCTTCTTTTATCGTACTAGCAAATAACAAGAACTACAAAGTTCCACATATGCACATCTTAAGGGTGTGCTCTATCCAAGTAAAATCATGTTACTCTTCCTGTAACACAATATTTACGATTTATTAAAGACTTTCACATTTGTCAACGCACAATTTTAACTATTAGTATACATATCTTATAATCCAATTCAACTACTATTGGTTGATTCGAGCTTCAGAATAAAGTTCATTTTAACAAGATTAATCTAGCAGCTACCCATTAAACTTTCTACATGTACAAATAAATTTTCTACAAGTAAAATAAATGATTTTCAGAGATAGGTAGATTCAAACAAAACCAAAAATTAATAACAAAGCTTAAATCACCTAGAGATATGGTGGATAAAATTAATTTGACCATTATTCATATCGAAAATGTAGAAATAAAATTAATAGAAGAAGTTGCATTAGTGGGAAAGTTCGTACCTGTAGTAGAAGAGAGATCTGAAAGGCGAAGAGAGATGAAAATGAGAAGGGTAGTTTGTAGGATTAAGAAGAAATATGAGATGTAAGAGCCCTTATAGTATTATTGTAGACTGATTGATTTGAGGATAGACTATAGAGGACTAATGGAGATTGCTTCCGGAAAATCTAACAGGGTCCACTTAACCAATTTTTTACCCAATTGTTTTTTTTATTGGAAAGTTTGCTTGGAATTAAAGTTGGGTAGGCAAGTGTAAAACACCCATCCCCAAAACACCAAAATCGAATTTCTGACTTGTTGAAACACAATAATTTAGTATAGTTTAAATTAAAATAAAAGTGACTCGACTTTATTGAACTCAATCCAACACCCTTTTGACTAACATATTACACCTTCGTTACCAAAAAAACAAATATGTGTGGACTAAGCTCAAATAGAGCTGTCAAAAGCTGACTTGATCCGAGAAATTTACCCGAACCCGATTATTAATCGACCTGTTTGAAACCAAATAAATGGTGACCCGAATCTGATATGACCCGACTTGAAACCAACCCTAGACCCGAGTTAACCCGAGTATTTGAGACCCGAATCCGAATATGAAACGACCCGGAGATGACCCGACCCAAATATAACCCGTAAATAATTGACTTGAACCGAACCCGACCTAAACCGAGATTGATCCAAACCCATTTTAACCCGTCAAAATACGAATTAACCCGACCTGTTACTAACCCGACCCAAATTTAACCCGACCTGTTACTAACCCGACCCGAATATAACCCGACCTATTACTAGAACTGTTAAAAGCTGACCCGAACTGAAAAATTTACCCGAACCTGATTATGGTGACCCGATTCCGATATTACCCGACCTGAAACTAACCCTAGCTAAACCCCAACCCGAGTATATGAGATCCGAATCCGAACATTATATGACGTATTTTTCAAACTTATCTTCTAAAAATCTAAACTAAACTATCTTATGGGATTAATATGAACTTATTATATATATCTTATCTAAACTTATTTGAACTTATTAACTTAAATAAAAACTAATTTGAAATTGTTTCCTAAAATGAGTGGAACCAATGAAAAATAGATCAGAATAGGGTCTAAACATTCTTATCGAAATTAATATGAACTTTTTATTTTATCTTAAATTTACATGATCACATTTAATTCGAATTTGAACTAATATGAAATTATTTATCCTTAAATAAGCGAAAAAAATGTAATAAATGAAGAAATTGATAATGATTAAACATAAACGTCAATACATGAATTGTTAATAAACCAACACGGAAAATATACCCGAACCCGATATGACCTGACCTGAAATCAACCTGAGACCCAAATTAACCCAATATTTGAAACACGAACCCGAACATGACCCGACCTGATTATAACCCGCAAATTATTGACTTGAACCGAACTCGAGAATGACCCTAACTCATTTTAACCCGTTAAAATCCGAATTAAACCCGACCTATTGTTCACTCGACCCGAATATAAATCGACCTGTTATTGACCCGACCCAAACCCAATAAGACGTATGACCCGACTCAAACATGACCCAACCCAAACCCAACCCACATAGGTTACGATATTAACCCGAGCTGACTCGACCTAGGCTAACCCGACTCAAATCCGACCTATTTACCCGAATTCACACCTCTAAGCTCAAATCAAACAATGTCATTAATAATGAGGGAATTTGGATGAGTGTGCAGCCCATTAATCTGGCTGAACGGGGCCCAATGAACAAGTAGTTCGTTTGCATTGGAAATTTGGAATAATGGATATTATTTGCTAGTCTCTTTTCATTTGCTATATTTTGTGTTGGACTTTTCAGAAAATGTTGCTAGTTTGCTACATAAGTTTCAATGTGCTTTTGAGTGGTATCAATATTTAGCATTTTTGATAGTGTAATGAACTTCATCAATGATAATAATAGTCAAAAGTGAAATTTAGTCATTTGTATTGTGAAAAAAGCAATACTGCAGAAAGATGAAAATAGATCAAGGAAATTAAAATATGTTTTTTATTAAAAAAATTGGTAAGGAAAAACACAATTGTAAATATGATATAACATATTTATAAGCCTCAACCATCAACTTAAACTTTTGATTGAATTAGTTTATTTGGTTAACAACATGGTATCTAAATGACATAATCTTGAACTCTAAGGAAATATAGATATAACTAATTAAATTAGCATAGCCCCAGTAGCAAAAGTCAATACTCCATAAAAAACCGTCTTCGTCGGAGAGAAAGGTGTGAGTGCGCATGAGGCATAGTTATGAGGTATGGAGTTATTCAAATTTGTAAAATTAATGGATTCATTTTCTATACTTCCTTTGATTAATTTCGATTTATAGTAATAAAATCCTGCTCATCTTTCACTTTTAAATAAAATGGAAATTTTGTCAAAAACCATCTTTTAAATCTTTGTTTTTGTGATGAAAAATCACCTTTTTAAAAATAATATTCTAAATTATTACAGTATTACCAAATTTAAAACTTTTGTTGTAATTCATTATTAACGACTTCATGATTATTATCCAGTATGGGTGGTGCCGTGGTGGACTGGTGGTATCTGTGAGGATTGTGACCTAGTTTATTAACCTATTTCTTTTTATTTAAAGTAATATGAAGGTCCCTACGTATTAAACCAACACCTCTCACACGTTAAGCCAACCAATCTTCGTAGGTCGACGCTTGAGAGATATAGGGGGGAGGGTAAAGGAATCCCCCTACCTCCAAGCAAGTGTAATTGGTGAGGCTCGAATTTGTGACCTCAAAGTCGCAAAATAAGTTCTCCGCCAAGCTTTGCTTAGTTATGTTGACCTACTTTGCATCGATACATTTTGGGCCTTTTGTTCACATACAAGTATCCAACACAGCTAGGCCAAGGTGTGATTACTTTAGTTAATTTTCATTTATCGAAGAAATTAAATTAAATTTATCTCAATGTAACAAAACTTATTAGATCTTACTTCGTGTTTCAGTTAAAATTAACCTTAAATAGCCTTATGTTTACTAAATTTAACTTAATGACTTGTATCAAAACTCAATTTCCTTGAACCTATGTGCTATTCTAAACTTATTAATTCTATAACATGAGTGAAAACAAGGTAAATAGATTGGCCTAAAATTAAATGTTTTAAAATGTCTAATTTTAGATCGATAAATAATGCTTTAGAGGTTAGTTAAGTTATGACATACTCCGTAGAATTTAGGCCTCAAATTACCTCATTTTTCTAGGATTATATTATCAAAAAAATTTAATTAAAAACAACCTCTCGAAAATAATAATTAAGATTAATAATTATTGTCCTACTCAGCTTTCTTCTTTTGTATTTTTGATTTCTTTCCTATTTCTGCAAGATTGTTACCTAAATATATTCTAAAATCAAATCAACCTACATTAAATTCTCTCTCATCACAAGAATGCCAGCAATAATATCTTAGGCCCTGTTCACTTCACCTTAAGAAAATAATATTCAATAAAAATAATTTCAGTTCAGTAAAAATAATTTCAGTTCAGCAAAAATAATTTCAGTTCAGCAAAAATAAGTTCAGTTCAGTAAAAATCAGAATTATAAAGAAGAAATATAACAGAGAATCAGTAAAATTAATTTCAGTTCAGTAAAAAATAATTTCAGTTCAGTAATATTAATTTCAGTTCAGTAAAAATAATTTAAGTTTAGCAAAAATAATTTCAGTTCGATAAAAATAAGGTGAAGTGAACGGGGCCTTAACTTATAAAATGTGTCCTCACCAAGAAAAAAAAAATTGTAAATTGTGTAACAAGTTAACAGCACTTTTAAGAGTAAATCACCTCACATAATATGTTTTGACAGCATTACTCAACTTATTAAACTATACGATGAGCTAGCTTTTATATTTTAAGCAGCCATAGTTTTTTTCCCGCTAATATGGCACACGAGATTGTAGATGAACTAATGAATTGAACCAATTGGCTGTATCTTGTATGTTCTCTCTCTAGCTATGTGATCCCTCGACGTAGTTCAAGGATTCTTCCCTCTCTCTTTGAACGTACCTCTTTCTAGAGTTCCTCCTACTAACGTACAATTGTACAAAATATTGTATTTGACTTTTTTGAAAAATACTTTTCTTATACTACCTCTGTCAATTGTTATCTGCAACTTTGAAATTTTTTATGTCTTAATTAATACCCCAAAGTTGCAGATAACAATTAAAAGAGGTAGTATATAATATGAATTTATGTTATCGCTACACTAATAAATTTTGTTAAAAAGTGAGTTTGAACTTGTTTTCATTGTATTAGAATTATATATTAATTCAAAATAAAATGAAAAGAGTGTGACCTTAGAAATAAGTGTATATATATATATATATATATATATATATATATATATATATATATATATATATATATATATATATATATATATATATATATATATATATATACTACTTCCGTTTCATATTATTTGCAACGATAAGACATTTTTGCTCTCTACTTTATATCAAATCGTTGCAAATAATATGAAACGGAGGTAGTAGTTATATTTAAGGTGTCATTTAATGGATCATGAGAGGCTACAAAATAAACTTATGGACCTTGTTTTGATGATAATCAAAATTTGAGTTTTTATCAATTTGAATTCAAAATGTGAGAATGTGAGAATATATATTATAAAACGGTGGTCAAGTATACAACTATTTTGAGAGCAATTTAATAAAATAAAGCAAAGGAAAAAAAAAACACAAAATGTATAGCACTAGAAAATTAGAGTACTTCATTAAACAAAAACTTTGACTAAATAAAAAGTACATTAATTAAAAAAACACATAAAAACGGTCCAAGACCTACAACAACAAAAAAAAATTAAAAGAAAACCTTAAACCCCATAAAATGATAAAACTAAAAGAACAACAATTGAAATCCCAAAACTACCCTTAAACATTAAAATTCTTTAAAGAAGTTGCAAAAATAGGGAGAGAAGGGTAATGGCAAGGCAATTGCCAAGGCTTCATCATTGGATGACAATTATTAATTTCTCCTGCTGAATTATTATTATTAGAAGACGATCCTCTGACAACCTTAGCAATCTCTGTAACTGACTCCAATGCATCCAATCGCGTTTCGAGCTTATCTTTTAGCGTTTTCAGCT